TACTATCATAACTCCACCCAATCAAACCATCAATAAGCATTTCCCGCACCAAGTATACATAATATCACTTAAATGTCATTAAAAGATTGGATTAAATTTTATGATCTAATTTTTAATAGTCACCAAATCAAAAAAAAAAAAAAAAATCCGCCCATATGAGGGAGTTATTCGACATTTTTATGCATTTGTATTCATGATGACGAAGTTACCACGGATGCAATTCTAGTTACAATAAATAGTTGTTTGGAAACGACGATGAAATGTCGTTAAAAATGTGAGTGCCAATCGTCGAACAATAATCAAAAATCTGCGGGTAAAAATAATCGTGACCCAAAGAAACGTGCCCTCGCATAGATCGCATCACGAAAACCGTCCCAAATGCATGCATGGATTTTCCCATAATAATGAATGATTATTGAATAAGGTTTCAGAGTGGCGAGATAAAAATAATAAAATTAAATAAATAGGTGAGTATAACGATCAGAGTCATAAAAATAATGAGATAAAACTTACCCGATAATGGCGAAGGCAAATTGGAAGGTGAAAATAGTAGGATTTCAGAATAGAACCTGGAAGAAAAATAATAATAATATGATTAGTAATTAGTGTAGAAAATTGTAATTAAAAGGAAAAAGAATTTTTAATAAAGAATTTACCTTTCGCAAGACCTGAAAAATAATTAGTAAGGTCGAAGGTTTAATAAAACTCGCCCAAATCGTATTACCTCTTTTGAAACCAAATCTCCTAAATTTATTGTTGTTGTTGAGGCAAATTGGCTTGAGTAAGAGACTCGCCAATTTAGCCTGTCGCATTTTGGTGGTGACTGTGAGATCGTTCGATACCCCCCGATTTGGAAACTGAAAAAAAGAAAGATTTATTAGAGAAAGTTTTAAAGCAAAAAATAAATAATGGATATAAAGTCAAAAGTGACTTACTTCGCCATAACGGTCGATAAATTAATATAATATTTTTGATTTTACACAAAAAGCCAAAGAAAATAAAAATAATTACCTTAAATACATTCCCTAGGAAAGACAAAAACTCCCGCTTCAACACAAACCGAGCTCGTGTTTTGTAAAACAATAAAAATAAAATAAATAATAATAATAA